TTCTAACACGATTTAACAATAACAGCAAATGGGAGGAAATCCTTTTTGTTTATAATACAACACAGATGTACCATTGAATGTATAAGAACGTTTAAGAAAGCAATGCTGTCATCTTTCTGTTGGGATATGCATCCATGACAAATATTACGTTAAGTGAGCTAAGGAGAGAGAATATTGTTGCCATTGCTGTGGATTTTAATTGCATCAAATCTAGTTTGGCTCCAACTCTGCAAAGGCACCATTAATTACAGGCTGCCTTTTGTTCTGATGTCCCTGCAATGTCAGCTGCCCTCTGTCGCAGTAATGGCTGCATTTCAGTGAGAACAGAATCCTTGTGTGTGCTTGTCTTGTGCTTATTAGATATTATAAATTAATTTCTACTGAAATAAGGGAGAATATTTAAGTGATTACTCCCCCTCCCCAGCATTGTTCTTTCTGATCCTGGTAGAATTTATCATTGTCTTGCAGTGACTTTGGCCTCTGTTCCTCTTGTTATACCCTTACTATTAGCTTCAATCAATGTTGAATAATACATTATGGGAAACAGACTGCGTGTTCAACAGTGATATTGTTGTGCAGAAGTGTGCAGCATCTTTTTAAAAAAGGCGACCGCATTTGCTTTATTGGAATGCAGCATTTAAATGGCTCTTTTCAGGCCATTCAGACCATAAACCTCTGTACTTTATATTACTTCTTTGAGTACAAAACCGGAATAGCTGGAGAGTAAAACTGACTCATTGTCCTAGTTCAAATTACAGGGGTATCAGCAAGATATTTTTTTACATCTCATGTCACGTACTGGGGATGGTATTATTCCATTCAGCTTTTCCAGTGATTCGACAAAGCAAGCATCTTTTCAGGTACAGTGAAATGCATTTACACAGACACTTTTCAAAGCAATTTAAATATCCACTTTTTTAAAAAATAAAAAAGGAATACCTATCAAGAAATGATTAACCTATCTATGCTCACATGATTTTGTCCACATGGATTTGTGTGCATAATCATTGCATCCATAGTCCCGTGAAGGACCTTACTGTATAAAACTATTTACAAAAACTATAAGTAGAAAAGTCAAGAACTATTACTTTACAGTTTGAGGCCACTGACTTACTCCTACCTACTCTTGAGTTTACATTAGTCCACATTAACTTTGATTATAGCAACCTAAGCATATTTTCCTTAAGCATCTTAGATCAAAGCATTTTTATTGTACTGGGTCCAAGAGTATAGTGGAAGAGCACATGACACACCCACTCTGCTGAAGTTCAGCCAGCCTGTGCCCGATCAGTGCCTGGGCACAAGACCCCCTTGGGAGCCCTATGAAAGTTCCTATGAGTTCCATAGTAGTAGAAGGTGGGATATAAAAAACAGTTTTTCAGAGGAGAAACAGCTAAAGATTTGCGGCATGATTCAGCCCAAGTGGTGTATTTTCAAGTCTTATCCAGCTGGGTACACGTGGCATTTGCAAGGAACTCCACCTGCCCCATCAGATTGGTTGGTGATCTCCCTTTGTGGTATGCAGCATATCTTACTTGCTTACTAATTGCTGTGCAAATTTGTTTCTGGTATTATGCAAATGCACAAATGAAGCTGTCATACAGTACAATCCTAAACAGAGTTACATCCTTCTAATTCCACTGAAGTTAGTTGATTTAGAAGGGTGTAACTCCATTTAGGACTGCTCCGTAGGTCAGACAATACGTCTGTCTAGCCCAGCACTACTGTTGCTCTTTCCCAGCTCTGCATCCTAACATTCTTTAATTGAATACGCTGGGGACCTTATGCCTGCAAACAGCATGCTCTCCTACCACGCTAATGGGCCCTCTCAACATCTTTGTCACAGAGCACAGGCAGCTGATCCTTGCATAATGAGGTCATGTAGAGACACTGGTATGATCACTTTTTAAAATCTACTGTGTGCAGTGAACCGAAGCACTTTCTACTTATTTAATATTACACTTCTTTCCCCCTATCCATACACCACAAATAACACCATATTTGTAAATCTTACAGATCAATAGTGCTTACATGGCATGGAGCTTGCTTATTGGGGGATTTCTTTTCAGGAGATGCTGAGTACAAAAAACAGCAACAGGTGCTTATTATTCTTTCAGTCCTTGCACATAACAGGGCTCTCAGCATTTTTAGTCTCTATTTAAGTGGGACATGATGCTGCTGTATTACAGAGTAGGTTGGTAACTAAACAAATAAAGAACAAAATTGTTTGTATGTTACACCCTGTTGTCTCTCCTAGGCCACCAGCATAATCAAGCAAAACCTCATTGACATGCCTGGTATCTATTGCCTTCTTGATGTTCCCTCTAAGCCATGGAGTCGTGTGAGCAAAAATGCTAATTTGTGAGCTGCTGGCATGAAAGTTGTGAGCGAGCGACTTGGCTACTGCATAAATTAGGTTACTCTGGAGCCCTCCTTCCTGAGCTAAGACAAAAATGTGTGAGCCGGAGGCTAAAAAACTGTGAGCTAGCTCACACTAACTCAGCTTAGAGGGAACACTGCTCCACAGCTAACCTACATTTTAGATTGATTGATCACACAGCAAAGTTACAGGAGACAAGTCTATACCCCAGCTGAACTTGGTCTTTCCAATGGCCAAGCAAGAGGTAAATGCTTAATTTCATCTGAAAACAGTAACAACATTTTAAGCTCCCTATTCCTCATCAATTAGAACTTGCCTGTTTCCTGACATTATGACATTCTGTGTTTCCCCACTTCCAGTCCACCAAAGCATCTACTGCTGGCAAGGAGTGGAGTGCCCCGATGTCAGGACATGGGTGAGCTTTACTAAGTGGGCACTGTGGAGGGGAGCTAAACACAAACCATTTTCAACAGTAACTGTGCATCAGCAAAGCAGTAGTTTGGCCCTAAGACACACCAGAAATATACATGCCTTACTTCTGAATAAACAGGATCCTGCTGTACAACTAATGTACTAACTTACCCTGCCCCCTTTTTTGCCTCTCTTCACTTTACAACAGAAGACTAGTTATAATCTTGGTTTTCATAGGGTGAATGCAAGTTTGTCACTTTTTGTTTATAAAGGATGCTCTTACTAGCGCTGTAGATTCTCTGCACTTTAAAAGCCAAAATTTGTACCTGTGTGAACTAGATTCTATTTCAACAATAGTTGAATTCTGCAAAAATTATTTGTTTGCCCAAGGCATTTTGTTTCTTCTAGTTGCAGAATTGGGCAGGAGCGATGCAGGGAACTTTAAGTGCCAGTGTCTTGGATTCAGAAATCCTGCTTACCTCCCACTTTGACATTTGAGATTTTATCAGGCATTGATTAGCATGTTTCCAAGCCTACACTCACAACCTTAAGGAATAGAAACTTGCTTTAAATATTAAGAGTTGAAATTCTCCAGATAATGCTTGTACATAATAGTGGAACTGCATAACATATACAGCACCAACTACTGCTAACAACTAGTATAGCTGACAGGCATTTGAGCAGGCTGCATTCTGACAGAGATTTCCATTGCAACCCATGAATGACTCTGAGTATGACCTGAGTATTTGGGCTAAAGCTTAAAACACTCACTGAATACATTATTGCAAAAACCAGTCCTTTCCCCTAGCATAAGTACCAGATAGAGTGCCCCCTGTACTTAGGCTAGGCCCATCCAAGTGAACAGCTGTTGCTGTGAATACAGAATTCACTCTGGTAGCTGTAGACCCTCTACAGCAAAGATGCTGGATCTGCCCCAGGCACATTAATTGCCCAACGAAACTAGAGTGTGGAAAGTGCCAAAGCCACTTGAATATTGTCATAATGTTCCCTCCAAAAGCACACTAATACTCTGTAAAAAATAATCCATACTTTCAATGAGACTTTGTCATTTCTGAAAAAAACAACAACCAAACTGTTCTAAAATAGCAGCTAGGTAGCTGTAAAAATGGACCTCAGAACTTTACAGGCAAGCCTTAATTCAAGCCACGGCTAGCCATGTTCTTTCCAAAAGGCTGTGTGCCATCAGCTACACAGGGAATTCTCATTTGCCAGCCACAGAGAAGCCAGAAGATTTTATGGAGCCTGGCTCTGCCTTTCCCATGTGCTTTTCCAGTGCCAGACTTGCAGATTATTTCTTTGTGTAAACAACTGAAGAACTCGGCACAGCGACAGGCGATGCTGCTTGGATACTCTTCCTTTGGCCTATTTTGTGTCTTGATCGGTGACTGTCTGCACATCCAGAAATGGCGGTTTCTCGTTTTACTACTGTTTCTGTGCATCTTCTCTTTCCATTAAAAGCAGGGAAGCAAGCCAGTTCCCAGGCTATGTCCTCAGACTTGCTGGCCACATGTGCACTGTCAGTAAAATGCTATTCATGTTTCCTCGAAAGTGAGCCTTTTAACAGAACTGAACACTTGAACAGCTGATATGAAAAGAACTCGATTTAAGAGCTCCTCAATCCTCCTCTCTTACATTATACAAACATGTGGTTGTGGAAGACAGCCAACAGCAGCAGCAGCATTCACTGTCAGAGTCCCATGTGGCGGCATTAACTGTGACCCCTGAAGGGAGACGATATGGATCCCATGTCCCAGACATCTGAGCAGGAAAACAGAGGTCAAAAAGGCCAAGTGACAAAACACCACACATCAAACACAACATGATTGTTCTTTGTGTTGCTACCAGACCTTTCTTAATACAACTGTAGCACAAGGGCAAGTGGGAGAAGAGTTCATTCTCTTTACTGATCCTAGCAAAACGTGTCCACAACAACACAAGCAACAGGAAGCAATTGCAGAAGCCAGATATGCTTGTGGATGGCAGGTATTTCTTCAGAAAGGACTGCATTTTTAACCTTCACATCCTAGTCAAGTCATACAGCAGGATGCTTATAGATCAGACAGTCTTAAGGTCAACAGGTATTACCCTTTGAAGCATTTCCCCTCTTTGTACTGCACTGCTGGGAATTTGTGCATCAAGCTCCTGGTGAATATGAGACACACACCATATAGCACACTGCAGATAACATTTATCTGATGTACTCATCTTCAGATATGTCTGATATATCTTCATCCGTACTCTCCTCTGAATCTGGCAGGTTGCCCCAAAGCAGGAATTTTGTACCTTTAAAGACATGCGGATAACTTCTATTTTAACCAAGATTTTCCAAGTTAACAAAATATCCCCAAAGAAGCATATAACCGTAGCCACTGGCGAAGTCCAGTAAAGGAAGTACCATACCATGCAGTTCAAGGCTTCATTGGAGACGAAGTTATTAATTTATATCTATGGCCAGACTTTCAGCATTTGAATTTCTGTACACAGCTTTGCATAAGAAAGAATTTTAGCAATTGCAACATCTCAGGTCATAGTGCTGTAGGAGTTTGAAAAACTGCAGGTGGTGAAATCTACCCCCACATGACTTAAAGTTACAGAAGCCTGAATGTAGCAGGGCTGGCTGTCCCTGCCAAAGGATCTCAACATTCTAGAAGAACAACATTTTACACCAATGTACAGATGACATTAGGTCATTACTGGGTGGACACCTCATAATTAGATTCTAATAACTTTATAGTAATGAGGAATTGTAAACAAGGCCAGTAACCGGGTATATTCTTTTTTTGTGGGGTACGGGGTGGAAATATACAGGCAGAATTAAAAGAAACATATCCTTCGGAATTACTACAAGAAGAAATTATAATATTACAGGCTAAAAAGTGGCTGCTATATTAGCACAGTCACATTTGCCGAGCCACTGCCATCCCATCGGACCCTCATAAGCCTTCTGAGTAAAGGAGAGGAGAACTTTAAAGAGAGTTAGATTGGCCATTGGTGGGGAGAGGACTCCAAGAGGGCTTGGGGAAATCAGAGAGACAGCTTGGGAAGGATGCAGAATGGCAGCCAGTCTTGGAGACACAGAGGAACTGTGACAGGGGCCCCAAGAGGCACAGAGGCTAATGTACATGGGACAGATAGGATATGGGCTGAAAGGCAGAATGTGAAAGAGAGGCCAGGACAAGCATTATTTGAGACCTAGTGATGGGAGGGGTGTGTGTGTGGGGGGGCATTCTGGGATACTGGTGTAATTAGGATGGAGGTGGTAAGACAAGGCCATATAGTTGCCACTTTTTTTTTCCTGGCAAGATTCTTGTAACCTGGAGCTGCAAGAGAATTGGGTGTGTATTGGGGAAAAGGTGGCAACCCAACAAAGTAGACACTGCATTTGAATCATATCTGTCCTCTAAGGAGATCAGAGCAGTCATTTATTCTTACAACACCCCTGTGGGTGGGCTAGGCCAAGGGATTTCACAGTGGGATCTGAATCTAGATTTCCTGCGCTCTTGAAACAACACAAATAAGAAAGCAAGCCTTGCTGCAGGTCTTCAGTTAAATATCTGACAGAAGGAGGAGGAAGAGGAGGAGACTGGATTTATACCCCGCCCTTCACTACCCAAAGGAGTCTCAAAGCAGCTCCTCCTTTCCCTTCCCCTTCCCACAACAGATACCCTGTGAGGTCGGTGTGGCTGAGAAAGCTCTTTTGACAACTGCCCTTGAGAGAACAGCTCTGAAAGGACTTGTAACTGACCCAAGGTCACACCAGCAGCTGCACATGGAGGAGTGGGGAATCAAACCTGGTTCTCGCAGGGAATCTGTACTCCTAACCACTACACCAAATTGGTATACCTTAAAGTATACAATGGTTGAACACTATTAATTTCATATTTCTTTTTCTTTTGGCTGTCGTCTCATCTGACATATGGGAACCCCACAGGGTTTTCAAGGCAAGGGACATTCGGGGTGATTTGTCATTGCTTGCCTCTTTGTAGTGACCCTGAACTTCCTTGGTGGTCCCCCATCCAAATACTAACCACGGCTGACCCTGCGTCTGAGATCTAATGAGGCTGGGCTAGCCTGAGCTGTCCAGGTCAGGGCTTTCTTTCTATTGTAAGAAAAATCAGCAGGGTTATTACTCAGAGCAAAAATCATGGTTGTGATCCTGGGATGACCAAGCAGACTGGGGGAGAGACACAACAGTGCACCAGACTCTGCTGATAGGTCAGAAGAGGTAGGTTAGGCTGCAGTAGCAAAAGTGCCTCTGTCACCCTTAAAGCTGTATAGGATTGGGCAGTACTGACTGTAACAACTTATTAAGGATGTCCTTAAAAGCATGGAACACCACACATTGTTCTATATCTAGCCTCTTATCTATGCTATTTGGTATTTGTATTAATTGCTGTAGAGTGCTTCTGAAAATCCAGCTCTCATCACCATAGGATTACTGTAGCTTCGCTGATCAATTAGTCTCAGTCTAGCAATTTAAGAGAGATCAAGGGAATGAAAGCTGAAGCAAACAGTTTCACCTACGGTGTTTCCTCACCAGAATAATTCTTGCTAGCAAGAGCAGCATGGTGGAACTTGGAGACGGTTATATGCCTTTCCAAAGAGGCACCCCCTTTGGAATAAAAGCAGTAAGATGAAATACTTCAGCGGACGAGAACAATCTTTAAGCAGAGAATCAAAATGTTCCATACCAGAGGAGTCAAGCCTGTTGATTCCGAAAACGGCTTGGCTGTGAAACATCCAGAAGTGCCCATTGTTGCAGGAGAGCAGGCAAGGTTTGCATGGAGCAATCACATGGTAGCCTACAACATTCCCACTGGAAGAGCAAACAGAATACAAGGCTGTATGTGAAGGGTCGGACAGAGAAATGGACTGCAACATGAACACACTCCTGATAAACAGCATGTTAAATAAAACAGGATTTGCATTTAGTGACTAAATATGGAACAAAAATGCCTTTGGAAAACACTAGACCGAGCCAAAAATTGGGGCATCAACCATAACCCTTTGAAATAAACTATGGCTAGGGTTGCCAACTTTAAAAATTTGTCCTGTTTTTCTGCCTCCAGTACTATCAAGATATATAGAAATGAAAGAAGTGAAGCTTGTCAGGTTCAGAACCAAGATAGATGCATCTGGAGGCTTGGATAATGAAATATAGAGCTAGGTGTCATCTGCATAACGAGGACATCCAGCCCCAAAACTCTGGACAATCTTGTTCAGTGGCTACACACACACACAAAAGCAGGGGTGAGAGAAGAGAACCTTATGGCACTCCACAAGATAAATTCAACCCAGTTGATTTTATACCTCCAGTGGAGGGTAAAACCACGGAAGACCTGTGCCCTTAATCCCAACTTCATATTCAAGCCAGTGAATAAGAATTGAGTAGCCAGCTGTGTCAAAGGCTGCTGAGAAGTTCAGCAGTATCTGGGAAGATTGTCCCTTCTCCAGCTTTAAATGAAGATCATCCACTAGTGCAAATGAAGTCATATCAGTACCAAACCCATGCCTAAGCCCGAACAAAAATGGTTCAGGTTCAGATTTGTCATCCGGGAATCCCTGGAACCGCACATCATATTCCCCTTACCTAGGAAAGGTAAATTGGAGACTGGCCTGTAATTGGCTACCTCATCCCTAGCCAATGAAGTTTATTTCATCAGAAGCCTAATAACTGCCTCCTTCATAGGCCTAGGGAGAGCCCCCCTCAATCAGGGAAGAGTTGATGATTTTCACTAACAGCTCCCACCACCTTTTCCTGGCAAAACTTTAAAAGGTGTAATGGGCACAGACCCAAAGCACAAGTGGTGGCCCTCACACTTCCAAGGGCCCTGTCAGCATCCATAGGCAGGATCAGACCGATTCCACAAAAGCAGTTGTTGCGCCCTCGGTCTCCTGTTTTCCCCGCTTGTACTACTCAATTTCCCACTATTTGGTGCATGGCCACATTTTGACCCACATCTCCCCCTGATTTCCCCCATGTCTCGGGAGCAGATGCAGGTTAAAATGCAGCCGTGCAGCAAATAGTGGGAAACTGAGCAGTACAAGCAGGGGAAATGGGAGACCGAGGGCGCAACAACTGCTTTTGCAGAATCGGTCTCAATCTGAAACTATCCAAAACAAAAAGACAAGCAGGCATTTGACACCTCAGGTGCTGAATCTGCACTCAACTTGACTTCCAAGTCAGAGCGGATTAGAGAATTTTTTTCAGCAAAGAACCTTGCATAAACAAGAACTACTGCAATTCGCTCTACATAGGGCTACCCTTGAAAATGCTTTGGAGACTGCTGGTGGTCCAGAATGCAGCTGCCAGTTTGTTGACCAGAACATCATGGTCAGCTCATATTACTCCAATTCTGCAGCAGCTACACTGGCTATCAATTAGTCTCCAGATCCAATTCAAGGTGTTGGTGTTAACCTTTAAAGCCCTCAACGGCCTGGGACCCTCATACCTATGGTACCACCTCTCCCATTACAACACCCTGCATTCCCTTCAGTCATCTTATAGGGGCCTCTTGTAGGTTCCTGGCCCCAGAATGGCTCTCTTAGGTGTCACCAGGGGAAGGCCTTCTCAACTGCAGCCCCTACCCCATGGAATGCACTCTCACATGACACCCATGCCCTGCCAGACTAGTTTAGTTTCTGCACGGTATGTCATTTGTTTGGGCTGCTTTAATAGTGGTATTGTGATAGCCACACATTTCAATATTTTAATCTTAATATTTTTGTTATTGTTTTTACCTTATTGGTTTTAATGTTGTAAGTTGCCATGAGACCCTCTGAGTGACTGGTGACTAAAAAAAAATTCTAATAAATAAATAAATATTACAGATGGGGTCCAAATTTTCATCACTGGCAGAACTGGACTTTTTTGTTGTTGTTGTTCAGTCGCACAGTTGAGTCCGACTCTTCGCGACCCCATGGACCAGATCACGCCAGGCCCTCCTATCTTCCGCCGTCCTCTGAAGTTTGCACAATTTCATGTTCATTGCATCTATGACACTGTCTAACCATCTCATCCTGCCAATGAGCAGCTCTGTTTATGACTCCAGTCAGCTCATCATTCCATGCAGCTACAAAGGAGCACCACCACAATCACCAGGGAGGTTCTCAAATTTCCCCAGAGCTGCCTGGAAACCAACAGGATCCATCAGTCTCCATATATCCTTAGTGCTTACATCAGTTACACAATTTAAAAGCAGAAAATATAAAAAAGAACCATCAAGCATCATAGAATAATGGCTATAAAAATATGAAACAAAAATTTAAGTCACTGAAATGACATTTTAACTTTCCCCTTGAATGGTATCAGTGAGATAATTCCGCACACTCCTTTTGGGACGGCACTGCATAACTCTGGTGCAGTCATGAAAAAGGCCCTTTAGCTTGTTGCCACCCATTACACTTCCAAC